GGGTACCCTCAGAAGGCGCCCAAAGGGTTCTTTAGATTGTCTGGCTGGGTGTGTCCCTACGCGGGATACTGAACACTATCCCGACTTGCTTAGGAACATTTGCTTTCCATTCAAAGCAGCCCCGAAAAGGGTTATATTCTCCAAACAGATGCCCATTTGGATACCCCATCAAGTAACATGGAACGTGACATTCGGGGTCCCGGTTTGGACCATTTTCCTTTTAAAGGCACCGTGTCCCTGTCAGGTTCCATGAAATTGGTGGGAGGGTACCCCTTTTTGAGGGTCCCCCTTTTCAAGGTTTCATTTTCAACTTGGCCCCGAGGTTCGCCTCCATCCTGCGGCTTGGCGGGGAAATTGTGGACAACCGAACCAGCGGCGGGAAACTGGAGCCTTTTTGAACGTGTTTTCTCTTCTTCAACACAAACATTTATTATTATTATTATCATCATCATTTTCATTATCATTATTATTATTATCATTATTATTAGTATTAGTATTTTCTTCCAGTGTGGATCTAGGATCCAAGATGGCACATCAGACTTTTCAGCCCTCCCAAAAGCGCCCTTCTTGCTTGATTTCTTTTCTTTTGGGGGGGGACCAATGTGGGACACATGCAATCACCGTGCTGTGTTTCAGTTTTTTTTTTGGCCAAGGCAGCAACCCATGTTTTTTGAAGCAATATCTTGGTATTGGCTTGGTTTGGTGCGTGCATAGATTTAAATGGGATTAGATAAGGCCATAGAGCTTTTTCAGAACTGAATTTGATTCCATTTTTCAATAGCATTTCTCTAGAAGTGTTTCTCCAAATCTGGTTTTGAATAGGATGTAAATAAGATCTGTTTCATCGAAGCAGCAGTTGAAATTCATTCCCAAAACTGATGTTAAATAGAGTGATTTATTCCATTCAATCAAATTACATACGCAGCGTTTATAATCTAGATAGGTTTTGTGTTCCAAATATGATGTGAAACAGAGCTTAAATTGTTTTTGAACGGAAGAATAAACGGAGATGCAACACTCCTTTTGTTAAACTTGAGTTTCAACCTGTATCAATTCAGACATCGGAATGAATTTCATTCATAATTTGCTGTGACATAGAGTTTTTGGACATGACATGCGTTTGTAAGGGCGCCACAACTGGGTGGTTTTCAAGGGACACCAAAAGGACAGGTCGAAGGTCATCTATTTTGGTGAGCCCATGTCGGCTGAGGTCCACAGACAGCGAGGTGCTGGGCCGCTTGGACCAGTTGTGTCTTGAGCTGCACTGGCTGGGCCGGCCTCGCTGCGGCGACGCCCAGGTGAAGGCCGGGGGAAAGAAAATGGGCGCCAAAGAAGCTCGCTGGGAAATGGAATGAACCCAAGAAAAACCAACCCTTCTGGTTTCCTTCAATGGACCTCTGGGTTCCTCCCTGGTCATTCCCTTACTGAGCACCAGCAAGCTGACTGCGCCGAACAAGCCTGACCAGCAGCCTGACCGGCACCCTGAGGCGACACTCGAATTTGGGTGTCCCAAGGGCCCGCGAGAACCAGGTATATTCCCCAGGTCTAGTCCAAGTACTGGATGTCCTTGCGCAGGTAAATGGCCCACATGGGTGTTTCTTGTTTTAGTGGACCCAAATGGTGGTGTTCCTGTTATGTTGCTCTTAAAACCAGCCAAAAAGGGTTTCCATGTCTTTGGAATCATCGCATCAAGCCCAAGAATTGGCCAACCAGTTGATTTCTGTCATCCGGCTCGCGTGGATAGCTGAGTGGTTTGCGCATTGGGCTCTTTTCCTATGCCGGAGCCCGAGGACAAATGTAAGCAACCCTCGACCAAGACGAATGTCACCCCAAACCAACCCTAGGCCAAGCCTAGGCCGAGCCTGGACCAACCCGAAGCACCAGCCCTAAAACACCTTAAACCAACCCTAAACCGACCTTAGAACTAACCCTAAGCCAACCCTACCCTCCCCGGGATGTTTGAGGTCACCTTTCAGGGGTTGAGGATTGATGGATGTCTTGCAGGGTTCTCAATAAGCAAGCTACGGTGGAAACAAATCCCGGTTGAGATAGAAACATATCCTCGTCGAGAGGTACTAACCCCCCCATCCGCCCCAACAAAGAAGTTGGTGTCCTTTCGGTTTTTCTTCAACGCCAGCTCACAGTGATTTCCCCCCCGCAAGAAAAAGAGTACCTCCATTATTTCCCCTAAAATTGGCCGTTTCCCCTGGTTTCTTCGACGTTTTCTGGAAAGAAAGATCCGTGGATCCGTGGAGGAGAAGAAGAAGAAGAAAAATAAAAAGAAGAAGACAAAGAAGAAGAAGAAGAAAAAGAAAAAGAAGAAGACAAAGAAGAAGAAGAAGAAGAAGAAGAAGAAGAAGAAGAAGAAGAAGAAGAAGAAGAAGAAGAAGAAGAAGAAGAAGAAGCCGCTCAAAGTCGCCAAGCGAAAGTGGGGCGTAGGCAGCTAAGCTGAGTTACCGTTCAGTTCGATCCACTCGAGGCGATGGCCCTCGAGAAGTTGAACGAGCAATTCGTGATGCTGCACGCCCATGGCAATAGCTTCCCGGAAGAATGGGTTGGTTTGGCGTGCCAAAATCGTGGAGCTACCCAATGGTTGGTTTCCTTGTGTCAACCCCCAAAAGGGTGGCCGGCAACAGAGATGCTCAAGTGTTGTTAGTGGCAGGCAAATGATGAGGTGGACATGTTATTGGTAGGCTGCTCTCTTAATTTTGAGTTTGGGGAGGAGACCACGGGAATCATGCATATTCCAGCTTCCGACCGCTCAAAACTAGAAGACCAAGACCCACATGTTTCTGGTTTTGTGCCCTTTGACTTGGGTAAAATAACCCCCCTCCTCCCTCTCTCCACTTCTGTGTCCTCGGTTGGGTTTTGCACGGAATCAGTTGGATCACTTCAAGGATTTGCCATTTGATTGGTTGGGTGAAGCAATCTGCCTGGCATTGAGCACGGTGATGAAACGCATCAAAAGGGCTTCAGAATCCGGACGAGACCTGCCTTTCCAAAGCAACCCAAGCACCCATGCCTCTTGAGCAAGGATTGCGCCGATTTTTGGGTTGGATGAAGTCTTGGGGGCTGGGGGAAATTTGCGCTCGAGGCTACGGAGATGTGGTAGATGTCGCCGGCTATCAGATCCCGGACGCTTCTCGGATCTATCTGTGGTGTGCAGCACTTGTCGGGTCGTACCCCCTTCCCAGGCTGAAACTTCGGGACCCAGACCGATGTTGCCCGTTTCCCAAAAAGGGGGAAAGGCCCCCAGCCGTGCGATTCCAGAATGGCTTCAACACATATATCCTATCCGCAACGCGGAGCTGGCATGGATGTTGTGCCAGATCATGAGCTACCTTGCATGACTGTTCCCGAGTTGTGTTGCCTAGCAAAAACAATTGAAGCACCATGACGGAAGGCTTGGAGGGCTTTGTGCTTGAGGCATTTGGAACGTGATGGAAACCTTGGATCAGTCGACAAGCATTACGCGGGAACTTTACTGGGCAGCTGACGTCAGAGTTGCTGCTTTCCCCGCAAATTTTCCTTTCAACATCACCTTTTGGGACCAGCTTTGCGAGTCTCCCAGTACGTCGAGGGCTTGGGGAATGGTGATGTTTGATGCTCCTTGGCCTGGTGGCTTCCATTTGGAACAATGAGAGCAGCTCGTTTTTTCGGGGCAGGGCTAGGTTGGCATGAGCACCAGAGGGGCCCTCTTGCCCTCTTCTTTTCCTGAAACCAGCGTCGGGTACTGTGTGTGACGTCCCATGAAGGTCCCCATCACCGCCGAGCCGTTTTTCTCGTGAGAGGTGCTGGAGGTGCTGTACGTCCACCGGCGGCTGCTGGGCAGCAGCTTCCGGCCCAGCGGCGCCGGGCTTGTTCCCAGCGAGCTGGACGCCAACAACTGCCCCTTCGTGCGCCTAGCTCTAAGAATAAAAGGTGGAGGGTCCGGTCCGGCCCCCATCCGGTCAAAGAGGGGCGGGGGGCTGCGAAGTTCGTGAAACGGCGCGAAAGTCAGACCAACACAAGTCAGGAACCTTATCTTGCTTTCATAATCTTCTCCAACGTGAATATATGTCTACTTCTAATTCAATCACAATTAAATGCTACTCAACACAAATTACATGAATAATATTCTGGAGCCTCTATACGAGACGTAATAATGAAAGAAGACAGAAAAGGCTCCATCCTAGCCATTCCTTTCCATCGCTTGGTCATTCCTCCGCAAGAAGATCCTATTCTCTCATCAAGGATTTGTATGAAGACAGATATTGAAAGATGATGCAAACCACACTAACGCACAAATCAAGCAGCACAACGCAACGTTTTGAAAACAAACATGGGACTGGTCGGGGATGGTTGGGATGGTCGGTCGGACGGGCGGGATGGTCGACAGTCGGGACGGTTGGGACGGCTGGCATAGTCCAGTTTGTGTGCGAAGCGCCGACTTTCTGCGCCTCACAAACTCACAGGGGAATCAAGTTTGGCTGGGGCGGTTGGGATGGTCACACAGGTCGGGATGGTTGGGACGGACGGGACGGTCGGGGCTGGGATGGGTTGGGGTGGGGGATGGTCGATGATGGTCGGGACAGTCGCGATGGTTGGGGCGGTTGGGACGGTTGGGACGGATGGGGCAGTCAGGTCGAGGATGTTGACGGCTGGCATGGTCGATTTTTGTTAGGTGCCAAATGTCAACATTTCGCACCTCACAAATTTGTCGGAGCGATCGGTTTGGCCCGGACGCGGGACCGTCGGGATGGTCAGGATGGTCAGGATGGTCGGGGTGGTCGGAGCGGTCGACGGCTGGCATGGTCCAGCTTTGTGAGGTGCGAAACGCTGACAAGACTGTCAGAGTCCTCAGTGCTGGCAGAATCGATCTGTGAGGTGCCTTTCGCATCTGACGAATTCATCGGATCATCATGTCTAGTTGGGACGGTCGGGTCGGGATGGTCAGGACCGTCGGGATGATTCGGGATGCTCGGGACGGTCGAGACGATTGGGATAGTTGGGGAGGTTGGGATTGCTCTGCTGCAAAACGGCAGGCGCAACAATTCGTTCGTCGGCCGAACCTCTGTGTCTCTGTGTCTGTGTTTGTGCCTCTGCATGTGTCTCTGTCTCTGTCTCCGTGTCTGTGTGTTTGTGTGTGTGTCTCTGTGTTTGTGTGCGTGTGTCTCTGTGTCGGTGTGTGTGTGTGTGTGTGTGTGTGTGTGTGTGTGTGTCTGTGTGTCTGTGTGTCTGTGTGTCTGTGTGTCTGTGTGTCTGTGTGTCTGTGTGTCTGTGTGTCTGTGTGTCTGTGTGTCTGTGTCTGTGTGTCTGTGTGTCTGTGTGTCTGTGTGTCTGTGTGTCTGTGTGTCTGTGTGTCTGTGTGTCTGTGTGTCTGTGTGTCTGTGTGTCTGTGTGTCTGTGTGTCTGTGCGTCTGTGGGTCTGTGTGTCTGTGCGTCTGTGTGTCTGTGTGTCTGTGTGTGAGTCTCTTTCTCTTTCGCTCTCTCTCGCTCTCTTTCTCTCCGTGTGTGTGCGCGTGTGGTGTGTGTGCGTGTGCTCTGTGTGTGTGTGTGAGGGCCGTTTTGGATGGGGCATCCGGGTGATTGCAAGATAGGTGACAGGCAGATTTGAGTCGATTTCGAGGCGGGCAAAAGGAGTTGCTGAAGCAATAGGTGTTCAAACGTGCTTCAAAAGGGCCACCATGGTTAGTCGTGTTTCTCGTTTTCCGTGCATTGTTGAGTCCAGCCATCCAGTCACACACCTCCACATTGAAGAGTTGGATGTTTGTGGTCTACGGGTCCCTAAATAACGCTGAAGAAGTCACAAGGCGGCAGGGTTTCCTTGTTCCCTTGCAATATTGAGGACTCCGTTCTGTCTTGGGGTGGGGTTTGGACCGCGTTCTCGAGAGAGAGACTGAGGCCAGACATTTGCCTACGGGGTGCTCCGTTCGGGGCAGATGTGCCCGACGAAGCGGAAGTCCCGGAAGCAAAAAGCGCCGAGCGGGTGCCCAACAGTGGGTTTCCCAAGGAACAACATGGCTACCTCTGCCGGCTTTTGCAGAGAACCTGTCACTACTGGAAAAGCTCACAAGCAAATGGAAGATATGGGTCTGTCTTCTTTGAGGGTACCCTGGTTTAGGTTCTTTGAGGGGACGCCAAGTGAACACGTCCCACATTTCGAGACAGGCTGTTTCTCAAAATAGGGGTCTCCGAAAAACGGTCACCAACCGAACAAGGGCTTTTCAAAATCAATATAAAATGGGTTGGTATATCGGGTGCAAAGCAAGGTCCCGGACAAAATCCTGCACCACCTAAGAACTCCTGGAATGGTGCGAAAGGGATTTTGCAACCATCCATAGGGTCGGAAGCCCGCTAGCGCGAGGCACCCTACGAGTCCAGACAGAGAACCGGGACGGAAGCACGGGAGTAGCCCAGCAGGGGCTGGGCGGGTGCGGGCTCCCGGCTCGGGGGGTGCCTTTATTCTTTATTTTTTGGCAACCCCCCAAAAATGGTGGTTTCCTGAAAGCCTTTGCCAATTTCAGTTGAGTTGGGCGTGCCCTGTTTGGGGGAACTGCTCAAAATGGTGGTTTTCCTTTTGGTTTCCCCATTATATAGTTTCAGCATTGTTTGTTTCGGTTTTAAAGGCCCAGCAAAGAGATTCCTGCGCCGGGAGTACTTACCCTCATTGTGAATGAGTAGGCACGCGTCTTGTTGTGAGTTGGTTCTCTTTGTTAGGTTGATTCAACAGAAAGTAAAGCCGCCATTTTGGCTCTATTTGGGCGAATACCAATGCACATCGTGGAGAGATTCCGGCCAGAGAGTAGGCTCCGCATATTGTAGTTCCTAGCCAAACGTTTTTGTTTTTTTGGGGGGGACTGGTTTCAAGAAAAAGCAAGAGGAAAGCCCGAGGTCTTTCAACCCATGCCCAAGTTTTCCGTCGAGGACAAGGTCAGTCGGTCGCGCATGCAGCGCGCATGAGGTACATGACGGACGTCCCGGGAAAGCTCCGAGAGGACTTCCTGCAGGTTCGGTGAGCTTGGGACCTTCGGAGGGTAAAGAGAAGCCACAAAGAAGCTGCTGGTGCGATGAATGGAATGAGCCCGATGAAACCATCTCCTATGGCTTCCTTTAAGGGAATTCCCTGGTTCATTCCCAGTGAGCACCAGCAAGAAGAATCTGCTCCATTTGCAGCAACGGTATCCTTTGATCAAGCCTGAAGAGAGATAGGGTTGAACCATGGCATTCACGCCTGTATCAGGTTGTTTTTTTTGATCGTTAGGACATTTCAAAAAACGGCCCGAATTTGTTTTGGTGCCCTGAGATTTGTTGGCCCCCGCTTTTTTGTCGGCAACTCCCAGCCCGTGTTCCGACTTTCGCACCCGAACAGGTGAAGCGTGCACATCCTATGAGGTACATGCGCGGCCAGGAGGCGACGGCACGCGTGTCGGGGCTGAGGGCTTTTCCTTCTGAAGTTTTGGATCTGCTTTCTTTCAAAGCAAAGTGGGTGTGTTTCGCCTTTTTAGGTTGGACCCCCCCCAAATGGCATCGGGTTTCCTTTCCACACAAAAAGGGGTACTGGCTCTTTTGTAGGTTGGGCCGTTTTCCTGTTGGTTTCCTTTGAAAACCACGCAACAAGGGGTACCCTGCGGTACCCTCAAAAAGAGACGCACCCAGGTTTCCCACTCGGCGGAAGTTTCACAAAGAATTCCAAACGTAGGTGCTCTTTAAGTTTGCGTTGGATCCACCTTCAACTCTTGGAAAACTGAGTCACACCAAGTGAAACACGAAGTGAGAGCTCTAAAACTTTCGGGAAACAGGCGGTCGATTTTCCCACTCAACAGCATGGCTGGTGTTCGGCCTGACCGAACCGCCCCTGGGATCTTTTGGAAACCAATTCCTTTTCCATACAAAAAGTCAAGCGACCCACACAACTTGTGAAACTTTCTGCGCTGGCATGTACCACAGAGATGTGACTTCTTGGAGGTACGTGGCGAGTTTGGATGGATCCCATTCCAATGTTCCGTTTTTGGATTAGGAAGACTTAAGCCGCGGGGGTGCTCCTTTTTTTGGGAAACCCGCCTGGGTTTAAGTATAGCTTGGGGAAATCCAACAATGGAACCCGCGCAATCAGGATTCATGAACACCTGGTCTGTTGGTGTAGCAAGCCAGATATTTTGGGTTGCCCACCAAGAAAGAACTCAAGCTCGGTTCTTTCCAATAGCTGGAACCTGGATTGGAATCCAGGTAAAGGTCGACTGGGCAGGTCTTTTGGCGGCCTGGGCGAAAGGTTTGGCTAGCGCCTCAGTGGTTCTGAGCACATGGGTTCCCATGTCCCGCACAGCGTGAAGGAACACGCCACAGTTCTCGGTAGATTTGCACAAGTTACAGGGATGGCCAAACCAGAACGGAGCATTGCGCCATCTTTCACTCAACTGCATGTTTTCGAGGGACCCGTTTGAGGACGTCAAACTCGTGGAAGGCCCCCGAAGCCTTGGTGCCAATGCCCGATTTTCCCTGGGCACCGTACATTTGCTCCGTGGTATGCCAACTTGCGATAGGTTTGGGGGAACGCACCTTGCTCTATGCAAGAGTGAAGCACATCCTGATGAGTATGCCGTATATGGATAGGTGCATGCACATGCATACACATGCATGCACACAACATTTGGTATATTTCACCTTCAATTCATATATAAGAAACACGGGTGTGCGAAGCATGCCATCCTATGCCTATGCATCCCATGCTTGCTTAGGCCCTTTTGGCGGCGTTTTCCTTTTGCCTCGTTGTTCCGGGGGTTTGAACCGACTGGGACTCCCCGAAGCCGAGTTCGGAGCCTTTCCCCATCGAGCCGGAGAAGCTCACGGATAGGCCTCCCTTCATTCACAGGACGGGACTGACGGGGACATGGGCTTCGGTTCGAGCCGGTTCAGAGGTCCAGGCAGAGATGGCAGCGTCATCCCTTTGGGGATATTTTTTTGGTGAAGCTGAAGTTGCAGGCCTGAAAATTGCGGGCCAGACACCTCTTGTTTGAACAATCTCCTGTTGGCTCTCATTCAAAAAGGGCCAGCGTCTGGTTGTTGAACAAGTGTTGCCCAACCCTTCTGAGATGGGTTTTAGCCTCATGTAAAGTCTTTGAGGTATGCTCCATCTGAGCCACAGTGAAGTCTAAGTGAGGAGCAGCCCTAGTGCCTTATGTGGGCTAAGGCCGAAACACTCGAGAACCTGGGGTGTTTTCCGGACACATTCCCAAAAGCGTCTCTGATGCTTGGGTTCTTCTTTAGGTTTCGGGTTCCCAGGCTCCCCTCAGATCTGTGCTCCCTCGTTGGGGGTAGCGCACAATGGACTCGGGTGTCAGAAGCCGGCGTGCGCACGCAAACACAAACACAGCTCAAGCAGAGTGGCAAATGAAGTGTACGTTAGGTATGTGCGGAATTGATACCTTGTGAAGCGTCGCCTTGTGACCCTTCCAACTCCTCGTGTGCATTTAGATCCCGCCCAGAACCTGAGAGGCCCCTGAACAATTTCCCAGGCTTTTTGTGGTTGGACATATCTTGTTTAAAATATGAACACTTTTGAAGTATGGGTGTGTCCTTTGTTAGGGGACCCCCAAAATGGTTGGTTTCCCGTTGGTTTCCCCGTATACCAGCCCCAAGAAGGGGCCCTAAGAAGAAGACAGACCCGTATGTTAACATATGATTATATGATGATTCTATCCCATGGGAGGATGCCAAGGGTGCAACTGCAGTCCGAGCTGAACCTTTTCGGCTTTCACACGGTCTCACCCCAACGTGGATTTGTTTTCTCCTTCCTTTTTGCTGGGGTTTTCTCCAAACAAAATACGGTATTTAGGGTAGGCCAATGTGTCTTTTTTGCGCCTAGCACCGGCTCGGGCAAGGCACGGGTTTGTTGGCTGGTTGGTCGGTCGGTCAGTCGGTCGGTTGTTCGTTCGGTCAGTGGGTCTGTCGGTTGATTGGTTGGTTCGTTGGTTACTTCGGTGAGCCCTCTGAGATGCAGGTGAGGGTGTGGCTGTCCCACGCACGGAGCCGGTGCTACGCTTGAAAAAGTCTGGGTGTTTCCGTTTTTCACACACCCTCCCACCAATTAACATGGAACCTGACGTTCGGGGGGTCCTGGTTTGCACCATTTTCCGTTTAAAAAGATCAAGTCCCTGTCAGGTTCCATGTGAAATGCGTGGGAGGGTAGCCATTTGTGAATGCGAGTTGTTTGCCCAGGTGTGCCCGCCTCCCTTGGACGGAGGACGTACCATTTTTTGGGTTTTCCGTTCGCCGGTTCCAGGAAAGGCAGCTGGGTGCCGCGGCAAGCCTCGAAGGTGCCGGACAAGTTCGACGCGAAGGTGCCGGACAAGTGACATCCAAAACTGGGTGGTTGATTTTACCTTCCAACAACCCAAGCACTTTTTTTTTTTTCTTTTTTTTTTTTTTTTTAAAGCACACACACCCAATGGTGTTTTGTTCTTATTGCTACAAGAAACAAACAAACCACCCAAACACCCAGTGGTTGTTATACGGAAACACCCAACCTTTTTTTTAACGCTTTTCTGGGATTCAGTATTGGACATGACGAAAGTGAGAGCAGTGCTCGGTCCCCGTTGCCCGCAGATTGCCTTCAAAGGATCAGCTCTATGAAGCGAAAGCAAACGGTCCAGCGAAAACTATTTCATTGAAGACTTCCCGGGACACCAGATGCATTATAAAAAATAAGAATCCATAATATTTTGTTCATAGAGATTCCTATATTATATCTTATTAGATCCATCCATAAAGCCAATTAATATCAGTCGTTATTAGTATTTCATCTCAGATTTTCTGAACAATAAAACATGACATGATTCTAATACAAAGTAACCAACATAGAAATCCAAAAAGAAAAGAAGATGATTCACAATCTCTTTCTCCTTACTATTTAATATTTTTTGAAATCAACTGAGCGTGGCAATTGAAGGGTTCAAGCTGGGCTGGCGCCGCTGTGCCAGCGGCTGTGCCTCACGGAGCAGGGGGTGCGATGACAACGAGTTGAAGCAATTGAAGCGGCGCCGTGCGAGGCGAAAGTGGCGTGCGACATTGCGTGGGCAATCGCTGCAAGCCTTGGTGTTTGATGGCAGTGTTCTTGCCCCCTGCGCTGTTGTCTCGCTGCCATAGCAGCGTTTCCGCCGGACATTGAGGCAGTGCGCAACTGGGCTCGGACGACAAATCAGACAGAGCGTTGCAGCAGTCTCGAGCTCCGAATTGCCAGACTCAGGCAGTGCTTGCGGCACGTGTGCTTCATTTTTTCATATTTGGCTCTGCCGCCGCCTGCTTGTGTGTACTCTGGATGGCACGCTGGCCTTCACGGACTCTTGCTTTGATGCGGTGGTCTCCGCACCGTGTCGTTTGGACTTGGTGTTCCAGAAAAGCACACTCGCGTTTGACTGTCGGGGCTGATGCGGTTGTGCTGGTTCCGCACGGCACGGAATTTGTGTTCCAATGGGGGGTGGCTCAGCTGCGGCGTCGGTGGGAGAGAAAAACAAGCTAAGAATTGACCTTGCGAGTGAGCTTTGCCTGAGGCTTGGATTCCGCCAAGTCTTCCTTGCCCTGCAAGAACAAATGTGGTTCTCATTGCAATATGTAGAGATTCCGGTTAAACCCAAACTCTTCCATTTGGTGGATTTGCTGTGAAGCCATCTCTGGGAATTCAATACCATGGTTTTGATACTTGCAAGCTGGAGGTGGAAGAGTGCAAGTTTGGGGCGAACTGGTGGTCTTTGTTTTGCCAGAGAAACATGTCTTTGGTACTTGCCATCAAGGTTCATGACTTTGGTAGGCCAAAACTGGAACCCGCATCACCAAGTTTTTTTTATAGCTCCGGGGCTGACCTTGTTTACCAAGCCTCAGGTACTTGAACAGATAGAAGCTGTGAACCCTTTGCCGGCTTGAAACGTTGCAGACACCTCAGAACTGCTTGTTGGGTCCACGCCCACGCATTTCAGAGCTTGTATAGCTTGTCTGTTGCCTTCTACGTGGGCGTGGGCGGCCCACGAGTTTACTGCACGAAGGTGCAGACCTGTGAGGCTTACGCAAGGATGACGCCTGTGGTGCAGTATGATGATGATGATGATGATGATGATGATGATGATGATGATGATGATGATGATGATGATGATGATGATGATGATGATGACCTGACGCTGACAGCAAGTGAAAGGCACTGCGAGCCAAGGGTGGGCGCGCCTGTTGTCAGGTTGGTTTCCAAGCGAGATTGTCCGAAATACATTGTTGCGCTTTTGTGGGAGCCGGCAACCCAGAGTATCCACACTCGCTAACTCATATATCCTTTATAGAGCATAGTAATATGGGTACCCATATGTAGTGTCAAAATCACGGCACTGGCATGTGATTCATATGATTGGAACCAAGCTGCAAACCAGTATCTGCCATACTGGTTCCGACAAGACAATACCTACTTCCGCCAGGTGGACGCGTTTGCGCACAACTTCATGCAGGAGATGCGGCGCAGGTCGGCCTCCGGCCGCTTGTGAATCGTCGAAATGGATTGTGTTCTTTTGAGGGAACCCCGAAAGAAGTGGTTTTCTTTGGTTTCCCATTGAAACAACCCCAAAAAGGGTACCCTCAAAGGAAGACGTCCTCAAATGAGTGGAATCATCTTTTTTTGGGGGATTGCGATGGTTCGCAATGCAAGCTTGCGAATGCGATACATGCGAAGTTGCGATGGGCTAGATGTCAAAATCGATGGATGGCCGGACGGTCGGACGGTATGAATGGAGCGCTGAGCTCCAAAGACCCTGGCCTTGACAACTTTCCCAGACTTTTCCTTTGGCGGAGTGATCCGGAGGTTTGGACTAGCTACCCCAAAGCCAGGAAGGCAGTTTGAAAGCGGCCCGACTGGCGGCAACGTGAGATGTGAAAAGAATTGACCAGAAGAATGTCATGCAAAGGCAGGTTTGCCTGACCTTCCAAATGGGATCACCCAAAAGTCGTTCACTTGTGGTCATTCCGGGATGCGCAAGGACCACATAAGGGGGCAAAGGCGCCTCTTGATTGGTTTGGGTCACCCCCCCTGAAAGAAAAAACCCTTCTGTGCCCCCTAAGCATTAGCACCAAGGAAGCAAAGAACTGGCCAAGCCTGGCAAAGTGTCAGGTTTGTGAGCGAAACGCCACATTTTGCGGATGCCGAGCTCTGGGATTCTGGATGTGCCGGTCCGCATTTCGGAATTGCCATCTTTTCTGGGTTGCTTCAAAGGGAAAGCGGGGAGGATTTCGAGGACAACCTCATGCTGTTTTGGGGTGGTTTTAAACAAATGCCAGAGGGAAACCAAGCAGAAGCCACTCAAATTTGGGGCGGCGCATCCCTATAAGCCAAACAGGAGGCACTCATATGTAGGGGCCTGCGTATCCCAACTTTCGAAGGCACTTCCAGTTGGACTGGCCCAAAGGGAAGTCGAGACGCCCTGGGCCAGGCGGAAGGAGAAGCAGCGCCAAGAGGACGGCGAGTGGGTTGGGAGGTTAGCGAAGCCAAGACGAGGTGCTGGCGGATCCACCTGATTAATTTTGACCCTTTAATATGGGCGGTGTTCCCTTCTGAAAGTGATGATTCCCCACTAAACCCAGGGACACCCGTGGGCTCGATGAATGTGGGGTCAACACTGCAACCCCTGGTTGGCAAGTTTAAGCCATTCGCTCTTGCAACATGGTAGGTTCCATGTGTTGCAGTTGCCGACGTGTGAAAGGGAACTCAGCACTGGACTGGTAATAACAGGAGATGTTTAGGCATGTTGACACTTGGTTGAAACTGCTCCTGTCCAACACCAACCCAGGGTGGTACATGGGCATTTGTTGTTCAAGGTTACCCTTTTCGGCTTGGTTTAAAGAAAACGCAAAGGGACCAACAGCGGTTTTGGAGCCCTCATGCCTATTTTGACACACACACACACACACACACTCCAACCAAACCCAACCCAAACCAACTCTCCACACCACAGCACTGCACCGTACATCACAACACACCGCACCGCATTACGCACCACGCACCGTGCACCACGCACCACGCACCATGCTCCACCACGCACCACGCACCATGTGCACCGCACACGGCGCACCCCACCACGGACCATGTGCACCGCCCCACGCACCACCCACAACGCCATGCACCACGCACCACGCACCACGCATAAAGCGCCACGCACCACGCGCCACGCACCTTGCACCACGGACCACGCAGCACACAACACACAACACTCAGCACACAGCCGACAGCACATTGCATACTGCACACAGCACAGAACACATAGCACACAGCACACGCACACACTTGTGGTAATCCTTTGTGGTAATCCCCCCTCTTTGATTTATGCTTCGGCTCTCCTATGCGTGTGCTCGTGGCTTGTTGATCTAGTTACAGTCGAGGGTGCAGGATCATAAGCCGCAATGGCTAAACGGGAAAATGGTGAGACATCGGAGTAATGAAACTGAATTAATCGGAGCAAGGTTTGTAGCAAAGGGGCTCTAAACGCAAACAGCGCCAAAAAGTTCAAATGGGACAGCAAGCTGCGTCAACTGCGCCCATGCCTGTCCGTGACAAGCAGGTACGTTTTCACCCCGGCTCAGGGGCGTCTTCGTTGGCCAGAGTCCCCTGAGCCGGGCTCTGGCCCCCTGCGTGTCATGCTTCGTCTGATTGGAAAAATTGCGCAGGCTAGCTAATCTACCCCCCCAGATTGGGCATTGGTCTGGCGCGTGAAAAGCGCTAGTTCAAATGGTAAATGCGCCTGGCGCATTAAGCAGCCTGGTGCAGCCATTCCAGACCGCTGCGGCAAAAACCACGAGAGGCCCTTAGTGACAGGGTTGGACACACACAGCCAGCCCAACGGGCGACTCTGCACGTTAAAGCGCAATAACAGAAAAGCCTTTGATGACTGGGTACCAACACAGGCATCTGGCTCTTCGGGCAAGAGCTCGCGAGCTCAGGGAACCGGCGTGGGGATCAGGGGCGAGAGGTATAGCATCCCTCTTTGTTGGATGAAACTGCGGTGAACACCAAAGCCGCCAATTAAAAGGTAGCCGGAAAAAACCAAAAAGAGAGAGAGGGACCGTGTTGTCGGTCCTCAAATATATGGGGCATATGCAACTCAGATCATGGTTCGCCGAGGCAAAGTACATCCGAAACCGCTGAAAAATCCGAGTGCTCGGCACGGAAGCGTTCAACACTGCAAAGGTCTTTGCGCTCCACGGAAACTCCGGCAGGGAATCCAATCACGCCCAGGAATTCCTTCCTCACCTAGTCCCCTGGCCATTGCGGCGTCCAAGGCCAGACCAAGCCCCAAGAAAACCAAGAAGCCCGAGAGGGACCCAACCACACCCAGGGATTCCTTCCTGTGCCCTGCCCCCCAAGCCATTGCGGCGAACAACCACGTGCGGCTGGAGGGAGGCAGGCCAGGCAAAAACAAAGGAAAACCCCAAGAAAACCAAAGAAAGAAAACAAAGAAGCCCAGCGACACGCAGGGATTCCTTCCTGTGCCCTACCCCCCTGGCCAATGCGGCGTGTAACCACGTGCGGCTGGAGGGAGGCAGGCCAGGCCAAACAAAGGAACGCCCCAAGAAAACCAAGAAAACCAAGAAACACAGGCGGGGAATCCACCCAGGGATTCCTTCCTGTGCCCTGCCCCCCTGGCCATCGCGGCGTATGACCACGTGCAGCCGGAGGGGAGGCAGGCCAGGCTAAACCCAGAACCACCCCCACGAAACCCAACCACACTCCGAGATTGCGTGACGTCTCGCCAACCTGGGTGGCCTGAAGGCTCAAACGGTCTGGAATTTGCGACTTCTGAGATTAAAGGCACAGGAAACCAAAAGCTTGGATTCGAGCCGAAAGCAGAACAAAAAAGCAAACGTGGTAGTGCCCATGCTGTACAGCGAACATGGCACGATGGCACGTGGTCACAAAATTGACTACGATCAGAACATCACACCGACGTACAGGGCATTTTTTGCAACGCTGTCAAGATGCTTATCATGCGAACATGCCGGAACGGATTAAAAGGTCAGGTGCAATAGCTGATGCGACAAGGCCATGCCATGCAACACCCCGAATCACGAATCTGAATTATTCGCCGCTGGATATCAGCGACCAAGGATTAGTCAGGATTGTATGGCAACTGATGGGCGCAGTGGCTGGGGCAACCACTTGGTGCCCCAGTTGTCTGAGTGATCTTGCACTAGGAACACTCCGTCGATGGCAGCCAAATCGCTGCGCACACACCATCGTTTGTCTTTGCTGCCACTACGCACTGCGGGGTAAGAATAGGCAAGAGCTTGTTCCTTCCAGGTATCCCCTCGGTTGAACTTGTAATGAGTGCCGGACACAGTCCCCGTTACTCCCACATTGGTGGTGTTTTTGGGGTGCTCCGAGCACGCAAGCAAAAAGTCAAGGATACTCCGCTCATGGTAGCACTCGGTCGAGACTCTACAGAAAAAACCTAATGGGCATTTCCTGCCGACCTGGGACTCACTTTCAGAGTCAAGCGCTAAGGTTTCAGCCGAAGTTGGCATGATGATGCCGGTGCGAAATATCCCGGCTAGGCCTAGCTGAGAAGAAAAATGAACAAACCGCATGGAATACTCGCCAGCTACACGGTCTTGATTGACTCCGGGAAAAGCTTGGGACGGGTACAGCCAAACAGCGGTGCCGGTAGTGGCTGTAGCTGCTACCGCACGCTGGTTAAAAATCTGGGTGTACGGCATTTCCGAAGCAATGATCGCGCTGGCCAAAACATGCACGGTTGAGATCGGAACACCATTGACCGGGTCCTCTGGTGCTACGGGCGCCAAAACTAAAAGGTGCCGAACGCATTGTTCCACACTTGACGGCGGGACACGGCTGAAAGGTGTCACATTAGCTTGAACCCAGGCCTTTCGGCGCTGGTGTTCCACGACGTCTTGAATCGTCAACGGGAACAGCCAGTGCGGGGAGAGCATGTTATCTGCCTGTCGTCGAAGAATGCGTTGAAGCCAGTCTTGGACTGTCTGATCAACGAACGTCTGGCCAGGCACAATGAGACCACTCGCGGTGAATTCCGACTCCCGATTTTCAACTGAGGTTCGAACAACGAGGTTGGCATCAGGTTTTGACCCTGCTGCCTCGGGATGTTTCGGAGTAGTGTCCTTCTCAAGGACCGGTGTACCAGGGCGGAATTCGTGAGAAGACCAGGCTTCATGTCGCGTGACCCGCTTGGCAGGCTGCGCGCAGGAAACGGGCTGCCGGTTTTGAGCAGCCGTCTTTCTTTCGGGTGTGCGCGGTCTCTTATCATTTGCAGTGACTAGCGGGGTTGCTCTATGTGGAGCATGGTAGTAAAGAGGTCCGTAGCCTAGGGCACTAGTCTTGGAACCAGATGCCGGAGGCTGAGCCGGTCGGTTTTTGAAAAAAATCGACTGAGGCGGCTGACCCCTGCTAGTAAGCCATGGCGTGTGAGATTGGATCGGCGCGGGATGTGGTCGCTGTGGGACATCAAACCGCCCGGGAGGAAAT